CCAATTACGTTTTGAAAATCAAGAAAAACAGCAAACAACTCCTATCTCGAACTTATTCAACGACCCAATATGATAAGGTACTGAGCAGGAGCAAAAATACTACACCAAAACGTAACGAAGTATGCAGTATTATTCGTACGTAGCATATCGCTTGTAAACAATTTTTTTAAGCTGGGTATGTATTTGAAGACTTAGCAGAAGCTTTTTACATAAACTCTAGATCCTGAATAAACATATACATTATCATATTAAATATGTAACATTTTAACTATCCTTGCCTGAGTATAAGGCCGCTCAATTACGAGTGAAGCGCGCGTGACAAGGCGACAATGTATAAATTCGTTAAGAATATAATTAGTTTCCTATTATAAGCAAGCGCATATATCTGGAGGACGTGCAGGATTCTAAAGAAATGCCGCCTCCCCAGTGGTAACAATTAAACGCGAGCCATCTCGGATGGATATGGCAACTTTCCGCTTACATCAGTCTGTACCGCAATACAGATGAACTTGATTATGGGAGTTAGAGTAAGCAAAAACGAGAACGAAGTAGGTGAAAAACTGGGCAAAAATTTGTTTCATGAAACACTGTCGTTATCAGAAGTCAAATAAAAACATGGAAATTCAATAGGCATTCGCCTTTTTAAGTTGATTTCGAATAATTGTAGGAGATCATTAAATAAAATGAAAAAAATTATATATATATATATATATCGCTTCCGGTTATTTTATACTTTTACAGTGGCATTGTTATGTAATGCCACCTACATTTCTCAATTTTTAATACACCATCTTGTAAAGAGGTTTTAAATGATATGTATTGCAATCTCCAACATATCTTTTATTTGATGAAATTGTGTGCAAGACTTCTGCTGCGTTTCTTTTTCCGCCTTTTAGACATATGGTTTGATTCTTCCTTTTGTAAAAGGCTTTCGTTCGTGTACGCACGGTTTGGATTAACAAACGCCAATTGACGGCACAATGAGTGCAACAGCATCCACCTTTTGGAAATGCCAGACCCATCCGGGATGGGACCTCCTGCTACGCCGCCTATATATATTAAAGTTCCTCTTAGAGGAATACCGTTTTAGGTTTCCTAATCAATTTTAAGTGAAGGCGACTAAATATCTAACTTATGGAAGATTGGATAGGAAATGATGGAAGATGAGTAGGTGGGAGAGTGGTAGTAGGGGAAAACAGGTCAGTGTTGTTAAGAGAAGGATTTTGATGTTTTTTATTAAATTGCATCTATTAAATGATTTTTTAAAAAGTATACATGAAAGGGAAAGAATTCAACGCAAACAGGATGAAATTGGCCCTATACACGGAGTGCATACGATCTTTGCGAAGGCGGTCTTAAACCCGGGTAAGGTAATGTAGTCAACACTATATTACTGATCCTGCATACTAGCACAACAATTTAATTGATGTTAGAGACGCTTGAGGCGTATCATACTGCTAATTGTATATGCCAGTGCACATGTAAGTTCATGATATGTAGCTTTTGGTTCGGAGGATGCCAAAGGAGCATTATCACCACTTAGCAAGCGAGGTACAAAATTTATCCGTAATTAGATAAACAAAACAGTAGGTAAGCTTAAATTTTATGACTATCAACAGGTCGGCCTTTAGAGTGATTTCACATCACCTATAAGAATAAACATCGTGAACATCGTGAACATCGTGAACATCGTGAACATCGTGAACATATCAAAACAACTTAGTAAAATGAAAGCTAAGTAGGACGTATGAAATTGTCAAAAGTTTCATGACATGCACCCGGCAACAAGTTTCCATGGGAAAAACGAAGTTCTTTGCATTGGATTATAGAAAACAACAGTTATTGCTATACAAGTTCACCCGCATCCTCGCAATCAACCAATCATGAATTTTTTGACTCGGATTCCGAGTCTTGCACCATTTTGGCGAATGTCGAATCTGGGTTTTCCAACAATTTCGAAGGAGAATCGAATTCAATGATTTGACCTTGATCCAGTACCATAATTCTAAACTATCACAACATAATTCTGGCTCTTCCCAATAAAGCTATGCAAGCTTACCTGTCATAGTCCATGATAGTGTTCAGACGATGAGCGATAGTGAACACGGTGCTCTTGACAAACTGCTCACGTATTGTTGCCTGTAAGTTCATATGGTAATCACCACCTATATTTGCTAAACTGCCATTGG